GGGTCCTACAAGCCACATGAGTGCGCTTTGTTTTGTTTGTCTTTGTGTCTTTTTGTGTCCCACCCAACCCCCTCCACTCCAACCTCCTCCAATCCAACAGATAATAATGTCCTAATTTGCTAATGAAAGTCTTTGGCCTTTTTTTGGGCAATGATATGGTTATAGGAATCTTGTGTTTTTCCTTTAGATTAGATTATATTATAAAATATTAATAATTAAATAGAAAAAATTTTCTTTTGTAGTCCGGTCTAATTAGATGTTTTATAATTATAATTTAAGGTATAATTGTAAATTTATAATTATAATGCATATATTAAATAAATATATATAAAATCACAAATAATAGATTTCTAAATAAAGAAATTACATAAAAATTTAAAATGATTATAAATTTATAATATTACATTTGGAGTTAAGTTATATCAAATATCATAAAAGTAAAACTCTTTTAGAATATATCCATCTATTCATAAGATTTTAATACCAAATTTTATTTTAAAAAATTAATTTTTTTGCATTTAGACTAACAAATTATTAGTTTTATGCATTAATAATAAATTATATAATAAAATTTAACTTTTTTTTTCAAAATTTCTCCTCACCCATGAGTAAAGGCAGTAGAAGTTTTGTTCAATTTATTATTAATTTTTGTTTGGTTCATATATAATATGATTAGTTATAGTAATTACGTACGGTTGTGGTTTATTCATAATTTATTGAGCTTACTTAAATTAATTATAAATAGTAAGTGTACTTTTATTGAAATAAAAGAAATTGATTCTTTTAAATTTTTATTATTTTTTATATAAATATTTTTTTTTTGAAATTTAGATTTTTAAATATTATTACACTTCTTGAAAGAATTGTGATCATTGAACTACAATGCTAGTTGGCAAGGAAAAAAACATTAATAATAATAATAATGCTAATAATAATAATAATAATAATAATAATAATAATAATAATGTAAAAGGAAGAGGCAGCTCTATAAAGAAAAAAACAAAAACCGTTTGAAATAGGTGTTAACTAGGCACATGCACATCCATCGTAGGCACATGCACATCCATCGTAATTCATAGTGACAAATTAACAACCATATAATTATTTTTTTTTATAAAAAAGGAAAAATACAAAAACAAAAGGGTTTAGGAATAAGCACAACTTGGTGAAGGCTCTTATTATTTTCTTTAAACTTTAAAGCATGTGAACATTTGGTAGAAGATTTTTTATGTTATATAAGTACGTACTGTTTCTTTTAGCCTAAGATTTGAATCTAACCAATGGAAATTAAATTAAGGCGATAAACACAAGAGATTACTTCCATCACTTCTATTCTACCCAGACCCCCAAAGATTAGTGATAAGTACACAACGAGGACCACCTTCAAAAATAAATAATAATAATTTTGAGATAATTTTTTTATATCATATTTTTATGTAATTTGACGTATCATTTAAATTATTAATTTTTTTATTTATGTAAAATTTATAATATTAAATATATATTCATTTAATTATATATAAAAATTATATTAAAAAAATATATAAAAAAACTTATTCCAATAACACCGAAAAAAAAGTATCGCCCTACTTTTTTTTATACAGTACTTTATGTAGTAAGAATTAATTAATGACAAAATTTTGTAGGACGCAAAATTTCATTTGATTTGTTTCACTTATATATGCGCATTGAACTTATCCCCAAAATTGCGTGTCCTGAGGTGGGGTGTCTTTATCGTGACGCGGAAAGGTGATAGGGTAATATAGATTCCTTAAAAGTTTGTTTAATTTATAATTAAGTTGTTAATAATTTAA